CTCACAGGAGCTTCATGAGGGCCCAGAGGATAAGGTAGCACAGGGCAGGGCTTCTCAAAGTGTAACAGCCAAGAAGCACCTGGGGATCGCGTTAAAATGCAGATTTGGAGCCAGCCAGCCTGGGGTGGGTCTGCATTTCTCACAAGCTCCCAGGTGATGTCCTTGCTGCCTGTCCTGCTTTGAATAACAAGGATGTAGGTGAAAGAAAGTGCTTTGAAAACAGGTGTCAGGTAGGGGGATTACATTTCTTTTGTAATGAGTTTTTCTCACACTCTTGTTTCCCCACACCTGAATCTTGTGTGAACTGTAGAAGAACAGAAAAAGTGTTTTCATTTCAGTCCCCCCAAAAGCAGACCCGGAGACAAGGACTTGGATTCAGGTAGTTTATCGGGGAGGTGGAAATAGGGAAAGGGAGAAAAGGGAGAGAAGCCAATGAAATGCCACATTAAAGAGCAGGTTGCCCGTAAGGCAACTGGAGCTCCATCCTGCAGAGGACCACTGGGAAACTGTGGGGACACTCCTCAGAACTGTCCTGTCAAAGAGTTGGGGCATTTGCCCACCAATTCCCCTCTCCCATCAGTTGAAAGTTACCCCGGAGATGTCAACTCCTCCACACTCTCCCAAGTGCTGCGGAAAGTCCTCCCTCTAGCAGAGAAGTTGCAGGTGTCCGAGGTGGAAAATAGTGGCATGCTGCAAACAGCCCTGTCCCACAGCTAGGTGACCTCAGCTAGGCTGAAGAGATGGAGGAGGGAGGGGGGTCATCATCATCTGCTACAAAAAGCTTCCGGGATTTTCACGTCATCTGTGTCTCTACTATTCTATTTTGAGTGCATGAGAGACTCAGAAAAGCTCTTGCTTACAGTTGTGATTATGACTGTCATCCAGCACCAGTGAACACCTTGCCCATAGGGGTGTCATGGGAGAATCTGCTGATGGCCTGCTGAAACCCACATGTGCCCTCGCCCCTCCCCTAGGCCTGCCTTCCCATTGGTAAAATAGTTTATACTATGGGTGCATGTGGAGGAAAATCCACCCCAAAGTAATGTAATCAGTGCTTCAGGGTCACCTTAGGAAGAAGATACTTCCCTGTCTCACAGTTCCTACCTTCACCTAGTTCAGTTGATCTGCACTCTTGACATTCAGTGTTACCTTTTATCCACATAATGATCCTATGAGGTAGTGGCTATGATTGTCCCCATTACATAGCCAAGGACACTGAGGGCCAGAAAAACCAATATCACTTATCAAAGGTCACTCAGTAAGTGACAGAAGTGGGATTCAAACACAGTCTTTCTGATTAACTAGACTCTGTGGATTCCATAGGAAAAACTAGGTAGTAGGCTCGCATGAGATTTAAATCACTAATCTAACCACACTTCTAGGCTGACCTGCTAGATGAGAACAGCAAGAACTGCTTTTATTCGCATGCAGCTTCTTGTCCTATTAGAACACAGTGGGTCTATTAGAGGCTGATTCTTCACATTAAAAAAGAATTTACGACAAGTAAAATCATGTATGAGTCAGTGTGTATTTACTTTTTATGAGTCAGTGTGTATTTACTCTGTGTTGGTATTTACTGGGAGGGATGGATTCACTGGGATGAATGGATTTTTCTTAGATAATTGGTAAATGAATAGATGCCAATTCTAATAAGCAAAAGATGCCATGGAGAAATGAAATAAATTAATTCAATGATTCAATATCATCAGTTTTCAAAATGTCGCTAGAGAATTTCCTCAACTAGGGACTTTTCCCAGCACATCAAAGGTAAGATTTTACTCCCACAAGCATGTCAGGAACACACTTATCCACAAAATACGACAAATCCATCTTCTTCTGTATTTGGGGCCATTTTCTCTCCCTTTATAAGCAGTGAACTTCCCGAGGGAAGGAAGGGTATAGGTTCTTTAGACTTCCCTGCACACTTTGTGGGCAGGGCCACAAGGTGTGTACGCAGAGAAATTTCAACCCCTAAATTCAGGATGCCAGCACTTGAATCCACAAGTCTCTTGGAGAGGGAGGGAAAGAGAGTTTTCTACATTTCTTTAATTCTTGATGCTTTGGGGGAGGACACATTTATTGCTCACCATGGAGAATCCAGAAAAGAAGAGCCCCCAGTCCCTGCCTTGAAGGAGCTGACAGTCCATTGGAGAAACAAGTGGAACACACTGGAAACAACCCATGCACGATACAGGAGAGCTGGGGAAGAAGCGACTCTGACTGTAAGTGCTGAAGGGGCCAAGGGGCTTGGGAAAGGGAGAGATCAGTGTGGACCGAGAGGAGAGGAGGTGGAATGGAAAGAGCACTGGGCTGGGAGTCAGGAGTCCTGGGCTCTAGACCAGATCCTTGCCTAATTCTGTGTCATCTGATGTGTTCACTTCTCTCTCTCTCTCTCTCTCTCTCTTTAGACAGGGTCTCGCTCTGTTGCCCAGGGCTGGAGTGCAGTGGTGGAATCTTGGCTCACTGCAATCTCTGCCTCCTGGGCTCAGGTGATCCTCCCACTTCAGCCACCTGAGAAGCTGGGACTATAGGTGCGCACCACCACACCCGGCTAATTTTTGTATTTTTAGTAGACCCTGGGTTTCACCATGTTGTCCAGGCTGGTCTTGAACTTCTGAACTCAAGCCATCCACCCACCTCGGCCTCCCAAACTGCTGGGATTACAGGTGTGAGCCACCACTCCTGGCCATGTTCACTTCTCTCTTACAGATCACCCTCAACTATCTTGCAGTTTAGCAAGATGGTCAGAACTCCTCCAGATGCCCGTGATCCCCCAGGAGGAAGAAGGTCCATTTATTCACCCAACATCTTCTGAGCACCATATGCACCAGACACTGTGCCAGGCACTGAGAAGCAAAAGTCAAACAGCTATGCTCAACTAGTTGCAGCTCCTCACCCAGCTACTGCTGCTTTTGCATCTTTGCTTGTGTTGTTTCATTCCCCTGCACCACTCTCCTCATTTTGTCCTTCTAGGAAAACTATTGACTCTTCAAACCCCTGGCCAGGAGTCACCTTGTTTGCAAAGACTTCTGTCTTAGGACGTTCAGGTTAAACAGAATACCATAGACTGGGTGGCAAAAAAATATTTATTTCTCACAGTTCTGGAGGCTAGAAGTTCCAGGTCAGGGCGCCATCATGGCGTGGTTCTTGGTGAAGGCCTGCTTCCTGGTTCGCAGGTGGCCATCTTCTTGTTGTATCCTCACATGTCTCTTCTTCTAAGGGGCTCTAATCCCATCATGGGGGCTCCACTCTCATGACCTAATCAGTTCCTAGAGGCCCTACCTTAATACCATCACCTTGGGAGTTAGGATTTCAACATATGAATTTTGGAGAGACACAAACATTCAGATCACGACAACTTCCCTGAGCTCCCGTTCTACCCTCATGCCCAGCAGAGTTACTTCATTTGTCCCCTGGGCTCCCGTCAGTGGACCTGCATCAGTGCCCTTACTCTGCTGGACTGAGATGGTCTCTGGAAGCCCCTGGAGGACAGGCATCAAGACATATCTTTGTTCCTAGTGCTGCAAAAGGCCTGGCCCAGAGCAGGGGCTCCTTCAGTAAATGTTAGTCAAATCACACTGAACCAAATCAAACTGAATAGGATCTCCATCAGATTTCAATTTCATTTGTTTTATGGTCACCTTTGGGAAAAAGGGAGCTTAGAAGCATTTGCTGTCTGTGACAGAGAGGATGCCGAGAGAGGGGCTTGGAGGCGTTTGATCAAATGGAACATTACCAAAGAGTCTATAAATGGAGATCAGTGCTCTGCTGCCACCCCTACCTCATGCTCCAGTTGACAACCCAAACTCCAGAGGGGCCCATTTAATAAGCCAGGACCAGGCATTATTGGTGTGGCAGCTGCAAAGGTTCACTGGGCTGGGGATGCCCATCGTGCTGCACATAGCTGTCCTCCCTCCCCCCAGAGTTGTGCAAAGCAGCAGACTTGTACCACAGATGAGCAGAGGGGTGAGGTTGATCAGCCCATGGTGGGATGGCCCTTGGCCTCCGCTGTCTGTCTGTCTTGTACCCAGCCCCACTATGGGCAGAGGGAGAAGGCAGAGAAAAATAATAAAGAGTAGATGGCAGAGTCTACGCTTACATCCCTACTTCATCCTGAGCGACCTTGTAAATTAGCACACAGGGCCCAGCGGACAGCATGTGTCACAGCTCAGTTCGAGTTCAGCCATTTCCACCCCTGGAGCACAGAAAGCTGGGGCAACGTCCTGGCGCACAGGGGGCAACGCAGTCTCTATGTTTTGGTGCCACTTTTCTGTGCTGTCTTGGAAGCGAATAGAATGTGACTCTTCCCAACCAGAGAAGCTGTGAACACCACAGATCTGCCATCTGTATTCATCCAGGGGCTTGTTGGGGTCAATGCAGCTGGGATAAGGAGAAGGAGCAGAGGAGAGAGCCCCAGTGGAGGCCTGGCGGCAAAGACTGCCCCTTATCATGAGACACCATGACACTGTGGCCAGAGCTGGAGGCTAGTGCAAGAGTGGGAAGAGGGGTCCGGACTAGACCCTGCTGCATACTGTTAATACTCCATCCTTTCATGCAGAAAGGCCCAGAGCTGATGAGTTAAAGCCTGCGATGAGGATGGCAGGCAGGTGAGTGATGGAGTAGACACCTGGGACAAACTTCTAAGCGAGTGTCTTTGCAAGAACCTTAGCTTGTTTCTGGGTACAATGTTCCATGTCCACCGCCACCTCAGAGTTTAGGCCCCAGAGGAGGCCTATGCATAGGATTCAGGCTCAATCTGAAACAGGTCTGGGCTCAGCCTCAGTCTGTGGCTGGCAGCCCAGTCCAGCTCACTGGGTCCGACGTGGCCTGCGTCCATGTGCTTGGCTTCATTAACACCAAGCTCTGACCAACCCCAGTGACCAACCCCCTGCCCAGTCTCTAGGAACAACTTCAGTTAAAACTTTGTAAGATGCCAGTAAATAGCACAGTAATGAAATCCACAGATGAGCTAAAACCGGACTGTTCAGAATCAGCCAAGGATGAGTTGGAGTCTCCAGGGGGCCCGGCAGGCTAGAAATATGGTGAGGAAATAACCATGTGAAATTCAGCCTGGGAAGGGGCCAGCAAACATCATGTGCATGCTGCCAAATTCTCCCCACAGTTAGCAGGAAGCGGGAGGGCTGCGGGGAGCAGCCGAGCTAAGGGAGACAGAGAGGCGGGATGTGGTAGGGGCTCAGAGCGGGTGGCCCCGGTCCAGTCATTTGGGGGTGAGTCTGTAGAGACAGTACACGGACTAAAGAGCAGGCCCCTGCCCATGTGGGCCCAGAGAAACTCCAAAGCAGGCCAGCAGGACCAAGGAGTTCCAGGGGGAGCAGAGCTTTAGGCTGGACAGGAAGAGTATTATGGATGAGTCATTCGTGGGACAGCTTTGTGTCAAGGTACCAAGATCCCTGATGCTCACCTGTCCACTGGGGAGCCCCCAGCAAGCCCAGGAAATACTAGAGGCAGCAAATACGGTAGTGATCCAGTCAGACAGACCCAGGTCTGACTCCTGGCCCTGTTCTGAATCTTTAAACTAGTTATCTAACTCCCATCAGCTTCAGTTTCTTTCTTTCTTTCTTTCTCTTTCTTTCTTTCTTCCTTTTTCTTTCTTCTTTCTTTCTTCTTCTTTTTCCCTCCCTCCCTGTCTCTCTCTCTTTCTTTCTTTCTTTCTTTCTTTCTTTCTTTCTTTCTTTCTTTCT